TGGATCGGCTAACCAAGTTCGCGCACTTCATTCCAATTAAGACTACTTATTCTTCAAAGCGGTTGGCTGAGATTTACATTCGCGAGATTTTTCGCCTTCACGATGTGCCAGTGTCCATCATTTCAGATCAGGGCACTCAGTTTACATCACATTTTTGGAGAGCCGTGCAGCGAGAGTTGGGCACCCAGGTTGAGTTGAGTACAACATTTAACCCTCAGGCGGACGGACAGTCCGAGCGCACTATTCAGATATTGGAGGACATGTTATGCGCTTATGTCATTAATTTTGGGGGTCCATGGGAGCAGTTTCTGCCGCTCGCGGAGTTTTCCTACAACAACAGTTATCAGTCGAGCATTATGATGGCTCTGTATGAGGCTTTGTATGGGAGACGGTGTCGATTTCTGGTAGGTTAGTTTGAGCCGGGTGAGGCTAAGCTATTGGGTACTGACTTGGCTTAGGATGCATTGGACAAGGTTAAATTGATTCAGGATCAGCTTCGCACGGTGCAGTCTAGACAGAAGAACTATGCCAACAGGAAGGTCCATGATGTTTCTTACATTGTTGGGGAGAAGGTTCTGCTGAAGGTTTCACTGATGAAGGGTGTTATGAGATTCGGGAAGAAGGGCAAGTTGAGCCCTCGGTATATTGGGCCGTTTAAGGTACTACAGAGGATTGGAGAGGTGGCTTACAAGCTTGCCTTGCCACCTAGTTTGTCAAGTGTGCATCCAGTATTTCATGTTTCTATGCTTCGGAAGTATGTCGGCGATCCATCTCATGTTTTGGATTTCAGCACGGTTCAGTTAGATGGTGTTGTGACTTATGATGAGGAACCGGTGGCCATTTTGGATCGGCAGGTTCGAAAGTTGAGGTCAAAGGATATAGCTTTAGCGAAGGTGCATTGGAGAGGTCAGCCAGTTGAGGAGGCTACTTGGGAGACCGAGCGCGAGATACGGAGCAGATATCCACACCTATTTGAGACTCCAGGTTTATTTCTAGACCCGCTTGAGGACGAACATTTATTTAAGAGGGGGAGAATGTAACGACTCGGCCGGTTGTTTTGAGAGTTGTAGCCCCGTTCCCCATTTACTGCTCATTTTGTACTTTATAGTTGTTATTTGACTTACCGAATTAGTCGGTTCGGGTCTGGAGAGATTTCAGAATGCGTTGAGACACTTAGTCTCATAATTGAAAGCTTAAGTTGGAAAAGTTGACCGGATGCTGACTTATCCGGAATGGAGTTTTGATAGTTCCGTTAGCTCCGTTGGGTGATTTTGGACTTAGGAGCGTGTCTGGATTGTGATTTGGAGGTTCGTAATTGAATTAGGCTTGAAATGGCAAAAGTTAGATTTTTATAAAGTTTGACCGAGAGTGTCCTTTTTGATAACAGGGTCGGATTGAATTTTCGGAAGTTAGAGTAGGTCCGTGGTTTCATTTATGACTTGTGTACAAAATTTGAGTTCATTCGGACGTGATTTGATAGGCTTCAACATCGTTTGTAGAAGTTGAATTTTTTAGTTTTAATAGGCTTGAATTGTGGTGCAATTCATGTTTTTGATATTGTTTGAGGTGATTTGAGGGCTCGACTAACTTCGTGTTGTGTTTTGGGACTGGATGGTGTGATTGATTGAGGTCTCGGGGGCCTCGGGTGGATTTCGGGTGGTTAATGGATCATGTTTTGAACTTAAAGAATTGCTGAAGGGCAGCTGTTGATGTAATCGCACCTGCGGAGGGGGAACCACATATGTGAGCTCGCAGAAGCGAGAAGGGAGCCGCAAAAGCGGGCAAGGAGGAAGTGAGCAGAGGTCGCAGGTGCTAGGTTATTTCCGCACCTGCATGGTCGTAGATGCGGCGTTAGGGGCGCAGGTGCGGAAGGCTCGCAGGTGCGATGGTGAATTCCACACCTGCGATTGCACAGATGTGCAACCAGGACTGCAGAAGCGGAGGCCCAGCTCTACTGGATCTACCGCAGAAGCGGAATTATGGTCGCTTCTGCGACACGCAGATGCCATTAAGTGTCTACAGAAGCGGAAAGGCTGGACATAATGTTAAATACAAGGGTTCGCGGTTTTCGCTTTATTTTAACATTTTGAGCTCAGATTTTGGAGATTTTTGAGAGGATTTTCGAGGGGATTCTTGAGGTAAGTTCCTTGTGCTCATTTTTGATCAATAATCTTGTTTCCCCATTGATTTTCCCTAGATTGTGTGGTTTTGAGGTGAAATTTGGAGGTTTGAGGCTAGGGATTTGGAGAGTTTGATTTGGCAATTTGGGTGAAGATTTGGTGTCGAATTTTGATAAATTTGGTATGGTTAGACTCGTGGTTGAATTGGCTTTCAGGTTTTGTGACTTTTATTGGATTTTGAGACGTGGGCTCGGGTGCCGACTTTGAGCCGATTTCGGATTTTTGATTTATAACTTCGTATTTTCTTGTCGAATTGATTCCTTTAGCCCGTATTGATTGTATCGTACTATTTATGGCTAGATTCGGTGCATTTGGAGGCCGATTTGTGAGGCAAAGGTGTGTTGGAGTAGAGTTTTGCTCGAATTGAGGTAAGTAACACTTCTAAATTGGCTTTGAGGGTTTGAAACCCCGATTTATGTGGTATTGGATTGGTGTTGAGGTGACGCACATGCCAAGTGACGAGCGTGCGGGCGTGCACCGTGAGAATTGTGACCTGGTCAATTACATATCACTATATAGTGGATCTATCTTTCTGATATCCGTGTTTTCTTCATGTGATAAAGTAATTGAGTTGTCAATCATGTTTAGGCTATATGATGGTACTGTTGGGACCCATAATGGTCGTTTCTTGCTGTTGACTTACTGATTTCATTGATATTTTGTACTTAGCCATATTCATTCATTTCATATCATATCTTAGTCTCCGTTGTTATTTATTGATACATCATATCATCATGTTCGGGCTAGTTTCATAACATTGTGAGCCCATGAGAGATTGATGACTGAGTGAAGCCGAGGTCCTGATTATGAGTGACATTTATGGGAGCGCGCTGCACGCCGCAGCTGTTTTACTGATTTATGATTGCGCTTGAGCTGACGGAGCCCCTTCGGAGTCTGCACATACCCCTAGTGAGCGCGGTTGATTTATACCTGGGGATGGATCTTCCTTGGACATGGATCTTGTTCGAAGCATTTATACTTGGGGATGGATCTTCCCCACGGGCTGGATTGGCCCTACTCAATAGTGAGTGACTAATGTTCAGTTGATGTATATATTTCGGGATGGATCTTCCCTGGGCCGGATTTGCCATATACAGTATTGAGTAATTGAGCATTTGAGAGTGTGAGCACATGAGGCTATCAGCATGGTGCATCACATACAGCATGTGGATTGGCATGTAGAAGTTATATTCTTCACATTATTCAGAATTGATCTATTTTACTGTATTGAGTTTAACTGTTGAACTTGAAAGCATGTATACATTTCTTCACTGTTATTTCTATATTGAACTGTATCGGTTGAGTTCGTCACTACCTTCAGTCCAAAGGTTGGATTTGTTAATTATTGAGTTGGTTGTACTCACGCTACACCCTGCACCTCGTGTGCAGATCCAGGTGCTTCCGGTCACGGCGGTTGCTGAGTTATGGAGTCAGGATCCTTGGAGACTATCGAGGTAGCTGCGTGGCGCTCGCAACCTTGACTCTCCTTCATTATCTTTACTTATATTTCAGTTCTTATTCTCTAGACATTGTAGTAGACTATATCCCTGTATAGATGCTCATGTACTCGGTGACACCCCGGTTTTGGGAGAGATATGTAGTGAATTGCGAATTTTATTATGCTTCTAAAAGGTTTTTCCTTAAATATTAACTGCTTCCATATTTTTCAAAGCTTTTATTGTGTTGAAATGGTTGAGTAATTGGCTTTCCTAGTTCCACGATAGGCGCCATCACGACAGTTGGTTTTGGGTCGTGATAGACACTAAAGCTATGGACCCCGTGACTTCATCATCAATCTCATCCTCATCATCGGATCCTTTGTTGGTGTTCTCATCCTTAGATGAGTGAATGGGACTGCCAGGCGCAATCCTTAACATCTCCTTTGAAGAACTGGAGAGATCATTGCGTAGATGCATACACTCCTTATCCGTCACGCCTAGCTTGCTCATTGTCATATTTAGGGAGCTATAGAGATAACTGTTAAAGTTTTCGTCCCTCTCATTCCTCGCAGCCTGCCTTAGCTTTAGCGTGGATCAAACAAGGACGTAATGTCTAGCAATCCCTTTGGTTTCTCCACATTCTCACCAAAGTCGGAGTACCTCGGTACCTTACGGGATAAGATGTACTGCATCAAGAGGTTGCCAAAGAAGAATCTTTTGATCTTTCGCCCAAAGCAGGTGCAGGCCATCTCCCCTAGCATAATCTCACCCATATTGATGGGTCGCCTAGTCATCAGAAAAAATATAACACTACTCGGGCTCGAGTGCATTCACTGTTGTGCTCAACCAGCATCAATCTAGCCTACACGAAGTTCTGCCACACCTTAGAAGTCTTGTTGAAGTCGAAGCGGATCATCTCAAGATGGGTATCCCCCTTAGTCCATTTCCACTTTGCATTAGAATCGACGCTACAAAGAGTGTGACGTGTCGCATGGTTGCTTGGGCATTTGATAAACTTTTATAGCCTCTGTGGGTTAGGGATATCAACTCCCAAAAATTCGTATAAGGAACGCCTATCCATTGGTATTTCCTTTCTGCGGACCCATGACTTGAACAAGTCCCCATTCCAAGTCGCATAAATTTCTCGCACCATGCTCAAATTTGCATGGCCCGGGCACTTTAGGAACTTATCCATCTTCATTTCTATCAACTAGAAAAGCACATCCGGGAAGTTCTTTTCCAGAGTCTTCACATTAATTCTCATTTCGAAGACGTATCGCCCATATGGCACAAAGTTATTATGCCATTGGATGGCATCCTCCCGAACTAGATCCAAATGAGGCTTTGGTCCCGATGGTGCCTTCTTTGACCCACTAGAAACCTACTTCCCTTTAGCTTGCCAGGAAGAACCTTCACCTTGCTTGCATTTTTTGGGAGGGGGAGCAGTAGTGGCAGACTTCCCCACTCCTTTTCCCTTGGTAGCATTGTCCCGAGCCATTGCAACCTACACATGATAAACATGAATGTGAGAATGAATCAAGAAATTCGCCCAAGGTCATCGTTATAGTCAAGGATGACCCCACACTTAAAATCGAAGGCTCTATATAATCTACTCACAATAGTGCTTTAAAGTGCACAAATATTGCACTACAAGGCGATGGGTACTCAAGACTTCCCCATGGCACACAATTCAAGTAGTCGAATATGGCCATGACTTAGCCATGGTGTAAGCAAGCAATGCTTGAGTCCAAATTACTACAACTAGTATAATACACTAACTACTTCTAACAAGAGGCTACAAGATATATTACATATGATACAAGGTGTGGGCAGTATGATTATGTTATTGTGAACATAGAACACGAGCTTCAGATTATGTAAAACCACCGCTAAACACCCCACACTTAGCCCAACATCACATACAACGACACTCGGCTACTCAGACTTCACCGGGGCACAATTCACTCTTTCAAGCATTATAGCAAACACATGGTGGGTATCAAGTATGATTTTCTTTTTTTCAACAATGGTAGAAAATGTTGTCCCTCCCAATTTTTAACTGAAGTAGAGGGAGTTGTAGTTTACTATTCCGTATATAATAGAACAACCAATTTTTGCAGCCAATTTCGTGCACATTAGGGTCACCCACCATAGCAACATAAAATGTAAAAGAGACCTAGGGAGATTGGGTAGTGGGGGTCATTTGAGAAGGGGGGGGGGGGAGCATTACAACACAAAAGAATTCACAAAATACAAGAGAGGAAAGGGAAGAAGACACATACCTTTGAGTTTGAGAAGAAAACACACAAGGATCAATGGAGAACTTTAGAGAGAGAGAGAGAGGACCGCCAGAGCGGGCAGAGAGAGAGAATAGCGGGGAGAGAGAATGGGGGTTTGGGGGGTTAGAGTTATTTTAATTAGTTGGGTAAATCGGTATGAGTTATGGTTATGGGTTATTAGGTGAGTGTAGGTGGGTAATTGAGTCGGGTTTTATGGGTTAGGGGTTTAACTAAAAAAAACAAAAAATGAAACGAAATAAAAAAATAAAAATTGACTTACCTAGTGATCCCCAACCCAGCGCGCCGCGCTAGGCCTAGCGCTAGGGGCTGTGAACTTTCTGTAATGTGCGCCCCAGGCAACATGGAGCACTGGCCTGTGCGCTAGTTCGCCGAAAATTATAATAATAATAATTATTATAATTATTATTTTATTTTAATTTTTAAATAAATATTCCCCCTATCCGAGCACTTAATACATCCTTTATACACATCCCACACCATTCCTACCTATGAGTTCTATGACTATAAAGAAAATAAAAAAATCTAGTCTACTCTAACCAAAAAAATAAAAAGCTAAGCTACGAAAGCACTAAAAATTGGGTTGCCTCCTAATAATCGCCTGATTTAATATCGCGGCACGAAGCAACATGTTCCCTCATACATCCACCAAGTTTATCAAAGTTTTTTGACGATGAACGCCACCACCCAAATAGTGTTTCACTCTTTGACCATTGACTAAAAATGTGCCATTGCTCTCGGGGTCCTTTAGCTCAACAACTCCATGCTTTGTAACCCGCACTACTTCAAACGGACCCGACCATCTAGACTTGAGCTTCCTAGGAAAGAGATTCAACCTTGAATTGAACAAGATAACATCTTGACCGGCTTCAAACTTACGATGCAAAATGTGTTTGTCATGCCATCTCTTTGTTTTTTCTTTATAAAACTTCGCATTCTCATATGCGTGCAGTCGAAACTCCTCGAGCTCATTCAGTTGCAACATCCATTTTTCCCCAGCTAGATCCATATCAAAGTTGTGCTTTTTGATTGCCCAATATGTCTTGTACTCAAGCTCAACAAGCAAGTGACAATCCTTTCCATAAACTAATGTGTACGGTGAAGCGCCAGTTGGAGTTTTATATGTTGTGCGATATGCCATAGAGCATCATCTAGCTTGCTTGCTCAATCCTTCTTACTTGCGCTCATTGTCTTCTCCAAAATTTGCTTCACCTCCCTATTTGAGACCTCCACTTGACCACTGGTTTGAAGATGATAAGCAGTTGCGACCTTGTGTCTCACCCCATACTTAGCTAAGAGGTTGGCCAACAGTTGTTACAAAAGTGAGTACCTCCATCACTGATCAAAGCACGCGGAGTACCGAATCTGGTGAGAATATTTTTCTTCACAAAGCTCACCACCACTTTAGCATCATTCGTAGGCAAAGCTACAACCTCAACCCCACTTTGACACATAGTCAACTGCAACCAAGATGTACCGATGGCCATTTGATGCTGGAAACAGCCCCCATGAAGTCTATTCCCCAAACATCGAAGATTTCGACCTCAAGTATGCCCTTTAATGGCATCTCAAGCCTTCTCGAAATTGTACCCATCCTTTGGCACCTATCACACATCTTCACAAAAGCATGTGCATCCTTGAATATTTTAGGCCAATAGAATCTCGACTGCAACACCTTTGCAGCCGTTTTGTCTCCACCATGGTGCCCCCTATATGGTGATGCATGGAAATCATGTAAAATTGCCTCCATCTTCTCCTCAGGAACACATCGGCGCACCAGCTGATCTACACACTACTTAAACAAAAACGGGTCATCTCATAGATAAGCCTCACATCATGCATGAATTTCCCCATACCATTCGAAGATAACTCTGACGGAGTCACCCTGCTTATAATGAAGTTCACATAGTCAGCATACCATGGGGCTCTGCCAGTTCTGATGGATAGAAATTGCTCATCAGGAAAGATTTTGTAAATTTCTCCCCCTTCCTCAACATATGCGCGAGTTTCCAAGCGTGACAAATGGTCCGCCACTTGATTTTCTGTCCCTTTTCTATCTTTGATTGCCACGTCAAATTCCTGCAATAGAAGAACCCAACAAATTAGTCTAGGCTTAACATCCTTTTTCTCAAACAAATACCTGATGGCTACATGGTCTGTGTAGACGATGACTTTAGTTCCCACCAAGTAGGCCCTAAATTTGTCAAACGCCCATACTACCGCTAGCAACTCTTTTTTTGTGACTGCGTGATTTATTTGAGTTGGATTTCTTTCCTCTGGCCTAATACGGCCCAATTGCTGTGTCACTGACATCACACATCAATTCAAAAGACTCTCCCCAGTTTGGGGCGGTGATAATTGGTGCAGTCACCAATCTCTTTCTCAACTCCTCGTACGCCTTCAAGCAGTGTTCATCAAACATCAAAGGCGTTTCCTTCTCAAGCAACCTGCAAAAGGGAGCAGAAATCTTAGAGAAATCTTTAATGAATCTATAATAGAAACCTACATGTCACAAAAAGCTTCCAACTCCTTTGATATAGATTGGAGGTGGCAGTTTTTTCAATTGCATCCACTTTTACCTTATCCACCTCCAACTTCTCTTTGGACACCTTGTGCCCGAGTACATTCCTTCTCGTACCATAAAATGGCACTTTTTCCAGTTCAGCATTAAATTCGTCTCTTCACACCTGGCAAGCACTTTACTCAAATTCGTTAAGCATTCATCAAAAGATGGTCCAAAGACCGAAAAATCATCCATAAACATTTCAACAAATTTTTCTACCATATCAGTGAAGATTGCCATCATGCACCTTTGAAAGTCGCAGGTGCATTACACAACCCAAACAGCATCTGCTTATAAGCATAAGTGCCATAAGGACAAGTGAAGTTAGTCTTCTCTTGGTCCTCTGGTGTAATTGAGATCTGGTTATAGACGGAATATCCATCAAGGAAACAATAGTAGTCTTGTCCGGCCAACCTAACTAGCATTTGATCAATAAAGGGAATGGGAAGTGATCTTTTCTAGTGGCATTATTTAGTTTCCGGTAGTCAATGAAAATTCTCCAACCGGTGACAGTACTAGATGGGATTAATTCATTATTATCATTTATGACCACCGTCATTCCACCCTTTTTAGGTACACACTGGACTGCACTTAGCCATTTGCTATCAGAGATGGGAAAGATAATACCTGTATCGAGCCACTTTATGACTTCTTTTCTTAGCACTTCCTTCATGACTGGGTTCAAGTGGCGATGGCGTTCTACACTCGGTTTGTGCCCATCCTCTATGAGAATTTTATGCATACAAAATGCTGGGCTAATACCACGGATGTCATCCATGGTCCATCCAATTACCCGCTTGTGCTCTCTAAGCACGCGAAATAGCTTTTCTTCATATAAAACAGATAAGTCATAAGATACAACAACACTTAAAGTTTCATCAACACATAAATAGGCATAATGAAGGTGGGAGGGTAGGGGCTTAACTTCCAATTTAGGAACTTCTTCGATAGACGGCTTGGGGGTGGCCCGGTTGGTCTATCTAAAGGCTCAAAATCGATCAGTCCTTTGATGTAAGCACATGCATCCAGATGATGCACCATCTCCTTCACCTCGTCCTCCAAGTCAATGATGTCAAACAACATAAGTGCTGTCTCTAGAGAGTCATCCAGATACGCACCCACATCATTTTTTTCTTCTTCCATTTCAATCACAAATGTCATAGCTAGATCCTCATAGCGACTTGGCAGTTCAATTGCCCTGTATGCATTAAAGACTGATTCTACATTATCAACCCGGAGGATCACTTTTCATTTACGAACTTTGATCACACATCACCGGTGTAACACCCCATATATTAGACAGAGTCCCACATCGGCAAAACACAAGAGGGATGTTGGGTATATAAGTTAACAAGCCTTAGACCCTTATGACGTGTTTCAAATCCGTGAGGGCTTAAGCCCAGAGCGGACAATATCACTAGCGGGCTGGACAGTTACAAGCGGTGGCTAAGAGAGTTCGTCCCAAGATGATGGGGACTTCTTCATCAGCTTAATAGCCCAGTATAATGAAATATACTGGCAGAACGAAATGCCCAATTTGTAATAGCATATCTTCTATCACCCCCTAGGGATGGACAATAGATCTATCAGCTAGCTGCAACATGACTGTGGTTGGCCTTGGAGCTCCCAACCCCAATTGACTGAAAACTAAGAGAGGCATCAAATTTATGCTAGCCCCCAAATCACAGAGTTCTCGCCCCACATCTACCTTACCAATTCGAACAGGTATGTAGATGCTCCCCGAATCCTTCAACTTTTGCGGCAATTTTCTTTGAATTCTCGAGGTGCACTCTTCAGTAAGTGTCACAGTTTCAAACTCTGTCAACCTCCTTTTGTTAGCCATTATATTTTTATGTACTTAGCATATTTTGGGATTTCACGTAACACATAAAATAATGGAAGATTCAATTAAATTTGGCTCCGCATATCAAGAAATTTGTTGAACATCCAGTCATCACTTTTCTTCTTCAATCTTTGTGGGAAAGGAGGTGGAGGCGTTGCAATCGGAGTCTTTTCGCTTTCTTTAGTTTCTTTCTCAGCTCTCCCACAGTTTTGGGGATCAGTTTACCTTTAGGAGTGACTTTTTCTTTCTTTCTTTTTAGGACTTCTTCTAACTCTCTGACGTTCCTCAAAGTTACAGCATTTACCTGAGGATTCTTATCTGTATCGCTAGGAAGGGCACCTGCAGGTCGAGTATTTTGTTGTGCAGCCAATTGCCCTATCTGCCTCTCTATGTTTTGAAATTCAGTCCTCAATTATTAATTATCTGTTCGAAGTTGCTGGTTGTCAATCAACACATTTTCAACATTTCATTTGTGCTTTCTTCTGCCTGTTGAGGTGGCTTTTGAGGCTGATTATAGTTCCCTTGAGGCCTGTATTGATTCTGAGTGGTCTGGTTCTCACCCCACGAGAAATTCGGGTGGTTCCTCCAGTTGGGATTACATGTGTTACCATATTTATTATTCTGGTTCATTGGACCTCTACCTTGTCGGCCCATATAATAGATGGATTCAGGATTCACTAGACATTTGTCACTCATATGGCCATCTCCACAAATTTCTAAACATATATCCATCCTCTGAACCAACTGCATTTGATGTCCTTGACCCATTGCCATCTTAGCCATTTGGTTGTTTAGTTTAGCAATCTCTACTCGCATGACTGACATCTCATCCAGTTCGAGTGTACTTGCTGCTTTCTATTTTATCATCCTTTTTGAGTCACCTTCACCCTGCCAGCTATGATCATTAGCAGTGAAATTGTTGAGTAGAGTCTGAATCTCATTGTACGGCTTTTGCATGCAACTTCCTCCACAAGCTAAGTCTAGATTTAATTTGGAGGTCTCGTCCAACCCATCCACAAAAGTATGTCTCAAAACCTCATTAGTTTGACAATGATGTGGGTAGTCTTTGAGTAGTTTCTTGTATCTTTCCCAAGCTTGACGAAGTGTCTCACCCTCTCGTTGTTGAAACCCAAGAATCTGGCTCCTCAGTGCCTTTGTCTTCTTAGTGGGAAAAAACTTGATTAGGAATTTTCGTGCTAGATCATCCCAAGTGTGGAACGAGTTTACGGGCTCCTCGTTTAACCATTCCTTTGCTTCCCCCACTAGAGAAAAGGGAAACAAAGTCAGTCAGACATTGTCCTTAGAGACGTTCAGATAGTTGTATGTATCCGTAATCTCAAACAAATTCTGTATATGCCTTTGGGGATCTTCACTTGACAACCCCACAAATAGTCTTGTGGATTGAATCAGTTGCACTATGTACTGTATTAGCTCAAAGTGCCCAGTTATATCAAGCTTCACGACAGCCTGAGTCATGTTCGAGAGACTAGGCCTTACGGCCTCAATCACCGGTCATTCTTCATTTTCTGCCATCCCGATTGGCTGTGGTTGGACTACAATACCCAACTCTGCAGTTCTTTCTCTTTCTTCCGCCTCCCTCCTTAACCTATGGAAGAGTCTTTCGGGCTGTTCAGACTATTGCTTCTTCTTAGAATTCAAGGTGAACACCTGTAGAGTCAGAAACAGTCAAACATATTAGCACTTGAACAAAAATAAATAATAGCTTATCTCAGAT